GGAAAGCTTTGGCTTTTAACTAGCTCCTCCCTAACAAGGCTTTATACATCCAATTAAGAAGAAACCATGGGTTTGGGAACTCTCTAGATCTACCTTGAATACACACCAGAAATGTAGGTTCTGAGTCAAAAGAAAAAGAAAAAGTTGTTCTCATACAAGAAAAAGGCTTGAACCAGTTAATCATACAAATGCCTGCTAACCTTCACACTATCTCATAACCTCACCCAAAAATGTCTTTAAAAGGTCTTATTCAGGAACAATCACACCATTAGTTGATTGATTTGCAAAGATGAAACTGATAGAATAAATTCACACTTTTCTTTCTATTATGGGTATCCAGAGACACGAAATAAGTTAGTTGAAGAGAACCAAAGAAAACATTCACTTGTTTCCACAACTTGTTTAGTTCTCAAACTTTAGATGAAATTTTTGAAAAAATATTGGATTTGCAGCAAAAAGGCACTATCCAATCCAAATATTTGTAATCTTTTCTTTTAAAAAGTAGCAGCCAGGTATTCTCAGATTTACGTTGCATCCTATCAAAGAAAGCAGCAACAGTACTTCTCTTTTAAATATCTTTTCATGTAAAATCAGCTACGAATTTTCATCACAAAATCAACATAAGGGGGGGAAAAGCAAAGAAAACCCTTCTTTTCTTGTCTGCTTTAGACTGCAGTTTAGTGGATGCACTGCATATGGATTCGTATTTTCCAAAAGTAGGGGGGATGCAAAAGTCTGGAAAAAATAGTCACACAACATGTAGCACCACCAAGAGGAAAATAAAGAAATAAAGGCCCATAAAGATTTTCAGCAATATCTTTTCACAGACAGTGTAGATTCAACCTGGACTAGTCATACCACATATGAAGCACACCCCCATACTTAAGCAACCAATATTGATCAGAAGTTCTCCTAAGTAACACAAGGTTCATATTTGAAATTATGTATACAAATTTAAAGATCTCATAAATTCAAATACAATTGATTGTCTGTTTTAAATAGATGGTAAATAAATTGCATTCAAGATAGCTCAACCTCCAGGAAGAGTCTGAGGTCAATAGGCTAAACCTTACTTAGTCTCTGCCTGGTAGTATGTGTAATGTGCAATGGTAGAACAAAGGAAATCTTTGTTGTCATTGTGTCCTTTTGTTCTAAAAAGGCTGCTGTCAATCAGTTTAGGTGAAAATAAAATACTAGCAGTAGAGGTGAGCTGATCTGTGCTCCTGGATTATTTTTCACAGGATTTTCAAATCATTATAGTAGTTAGCTATGCTGCATGGGCAATTCTAATTTGTTTTATAGTCCAAAACATAGTTGTGCACATTTTTTTACTAACTGAGTCCTAATTCTGCAGTTTCACTAGAGAACCACAGCTTAATGTAGAAATAAACATGCTGAAATGAGACACACCACTTAAAATGGAAAAACCTGATTCCAGCTTTTGTTAGAATGCTGAAGTGATTGGATATTGCTACCTGTCTTTCTCCCTCTTCTCTCACCCACAGCAATAGTATCCCTGATGGCAGGAGGGAAAAAGAGAGCACTACAAAAGCTGCTATCTATCTGTGCATCAGTTCAAGCACCGCACACAATATCTAGGTGTGCTTCTGAAGCACGAAGGTATACTGATATACTCAAATCCTTAACAACATGTTCAAATATGTTTGCAAAGACATTCTGGAGGATGAAATAGTTCATATCCACCACTGTCAGGATTCTACAATTAAGGCAGGTCACTGAGGTTCAGCACCATATGGTCTCATTTTGTTAGATAATTTTCAGTTTTGGAGGCCTGAGAATGTGGCCACCTTCGCTCAATCACTTTTATGCTCAAATTCTCCCCTTTGCTTTTCATATTTAGCTGTGCTGATTTGCCGAATTCACAAAATAATACATGATAAATTCACTGTTCTGAAGAATTGCCACAATAATTAAATTGATTGTACATGGGCCAGTAAAGTGAAGCTTAATCTAGAGGTGAGGGACTGTTTATACTACATTATCTATACAAGTATGTGGCATTCAACCTGCTTGGGACAGATCTGCACCTCCCTTTGTAATTTGGTCACATTCTTTAGACCATCTTTGTCCCTAGTGGCCTTATTGGCTTCAAATACCAACAATGTAACTTTAGTGATATATGACCTGATATGATTTTAACCTCTGGTTTACTGCCATTACAATATTCATAGATCTGCCCTTGAAAGAGGTCAGGAACTTGGCTGCTACAGATCAACTGCTGCAAAAAATGGGACTGGGTGCTATGAATATCTTACACCGCTACTATCATCCTCTCTGGTCCCTGTCCAATTTCCTTAACATAATTCAAAGTTAAGGAACCCTCGACTTACAGACGGCCCTAGTTACAAACATTTTGACTTACAAACTGCTCTGATAGAAAAATATTGACTCGACTTGCAAACTTAAAGTTACGAACCAAAAAAAAACACACAAACACGCGGGAGGTGGGGAAAGCGCAAAATTTGAACTTACAGTTAACTGTTGGCCAGTGAAGAGGGTGCCTGTCTGCTTCCTCACTCTTCCCAGCGTTTTGAGAGTGGATCTGGAGACAGTCTTCAGACTGCCTGGTACTGACTGGTATTGCCTGGCACACTGCTGTGTGGACTGTATTTTTATTTTTTGGCTTTAAAAAAAAATTATTTTTGGATTTTTAAAAGGTGTTCCCTCCCTCCTTTGCTGCCCCCCTTTTCCCCAAAAGGTGCTTGTATTGGCTTGTCTTGATTGAAAAGGTGCTTTTCAACGTGATCTGTTGTCTGAAAGGTGCTTGGTTTTTCCCAGAAGGTTCTTGTCTTGGCTGAAAATGTGCTTTTCAAGGTGTTCTGCTGAAAAGGTTTCTGCTCTCTCCTTCCCTCCCTCTTTTCTTTCCTTTTTTTAAAAATCTAAGTCATCTTAGGTTAAAAGGAAAAAAAGAGAAAAAATCTGCCCCTAGTGTTAGGAACGGATTAACTGGCTTTGCTTTAGTTCCTATGAGAACTAATGATTCGAGTTACAAACCGTCCCTTGTCCTAAGAACCAAAAACAGCCGGAATGGATTAATTGGTTTTCAATGCATTCCTATGGGAAATGCTGATTTGACTTATGAACTTTTCAACTTACAAACTTCCTTCCGGAACGGATTAAGTTTGTAAGTCGAGGGTTGACTGTACTGTTTCGGTCCTTCACACTTCAGTGCCTTGCTTTCTGTAAGATCATATTTTCCCACATATACTTCACCAAATCTTGAGGGCTATGACAAAAGGACATTGTTCTGATTAGAACAATCTAGTTGTAAAACATCTACACAAACATTCCCTGATAGCAGAAAACTCGCCCCAACTTGTACCTATGTTGAAAATTTTCTAGCACTCAGTAAAGACTGTTCTATTTTTCTGGGCTCAAAAAAATCGGTATTGCCATTTTATGTTGACTGTATTTTATTTCTGTGATCTCCGTTTTAAATGATCCATTTTTGTTCCTTTGCTTTTTGTTTTAACATGGCTGGTGCCTGACTTTATAATCAACTTGATTCTCCTTTATACTGTGCCATATTTTTATTACAACAATGGTTATTTTAATTTCACATGTTTTATCTTTGAAACTGCCCTATCTATCATAATGTGCACATACAAATAGAAATAGTTCATGGTCCACAGTATCCAGAAGGAAGTTCTTCCTGCCTTTTATCATACTTTCTGAGCCAACTGTCAAAAGATAAGAAGTTGACCAGAGGAAAGGCAGCAATATTCAGGTAACTAAAAGAGGAAAAGGACAGCTATTCTCTGAATTTTATTTGCAACTTTGCCACAATATTTTAAATTGTTACAGAAAGGACAGATCCAATGGTCACAAACAGCAAAGTTGTACCATATTTTCCATGTATAAGACGCTACTTTTTCCTAAAATCATTACACTAAAAATTCTCTTATACAAAGAAATAAGCTGAGACAAAACACCCCGTACCTTGCCTCTGTAAAAAGGCTTCCTTTAATAAGGAGGCTTCGCTTCCTATAATCAGGAGACTTAGCTTCCTCCCATTATGAGCCTTATGGAACTGATGTCAGCTGATGCTGAACAAACCATTTGGAACACACCTTGTTGGAGGTGGCACCTGTAGGCTAAGATGCAACAGGGACTCGTAATGTCCAAGCATTCTGAGCCCAGATGTTGAATATTCAAAGCTAAGTTTTCTTAATTTTTGAGTTAGAAAAGTTGGGCGGAGGGTGTCTTATAAATGGAAAAATACTGTAATTTCCCATGTATCTTGATCAGTATCCAAGATAAACACCACATTAGCTATTAGGTCCACGCCAATATACCCAGCATGCTTACTGAGTGACCACAAAGAAACCACGTGCACTCTCCCTAGCTGGAATCCTAAAGATTATTTCACACAACTATGCCTTTATGTAGAGGAAGCCAAAAAGGGATGAAGTACGTGCTTGCCCATTATTTTGATCAGAACTATCCAGAAACTGAATACTGTTGAGAACAAGTATGCAACAGTTGGATCTCTCACACTCTTCACCCAATCAAAGCAAGACACAAGCAAGTTTAGGATTCCAACCTGAAAGGGTGGGGCTGACTTTCCTGAATTCACTCATCGGAAATGCCATGTATGAATTGACCTTAATCAAGAGTTTACAGTGCATATTAATATTAATAAAATAAATTTTATTAATGTATTAAATTTATGGAATTCAAAGATTGGCAATTTGATATAAACATCTGCATGGAGCACAGTTTGCTCATTAACTTTTAAAACTAGTATGAAAGTTGACCAAGGGGTCAGTCACCTCATATGTTCATGTCAACTTATTTAATATCTTTTCATTAAATTGATATTGAATATTGCACCTAAGCATCAATGTTACAATTACATATTTGTAATGTTAGTTTACCAAAATGCAACTGTGTCAATTGCATTGATTTTTAGTACAAGCTGCTCAATTTAGAAGTATAACTAGAAACACCTGGCAAGTTCTTCTGCTCATGCATTTTACCTGCTGAGCTGTGTCCAAGTATCTTTTCTGCTTACGATGTCGTTTATACCTTGGTATCTGAGCACAAGAATAAAACAATGGCAGAAAAATGAAAACCAATTACATGCAGGTTATTTCCAATGAATTTAGCTTTTCGATTAATAGATGTGTTCTCATTTTTTTTAGAAAAAATGTTGACAGGTTTTGTCTACTAAATACAGTAGTACTTTCCTCGACCAACAGAATTCATACACTGTGAGTCAAATGAAATCCACCAGCTGAAATCCCTACAGATGCTACAGATGTGATATAGCACACACAACTTTCACAATCTGTTTTGTTCAATGTTTCACCATGTTCTTCTTTATTGTTTGAAAATGACATCTAAAAGTTCTGCATTCATCTCTGACATGACGAAATTCTTTTGTATGCTGGACAGATAGTAAAATTCCTTTTGAAATATAATTTAAAGTATACTTTTTTGCAGCTGCAAACATTTAATTACGTATCATTTGGGCTTTTAATAGGAGTCCGATTGAACACAGTGGGCATGACTCCTGAGCATGCATACAGTTGCACTATAAAGTAATCTCTTAAATACATTTGTCTGCATGAATTTGTCTAGTGCAAAGATCGCAGCACTTTATATTGTTAGATTCTGAGTTCTGAGCCTTGTACATTATTCTGCTACTTAGTGAGTCCCATTCACAGGTTCACACAATGGGGTTCATCTTATTCTAAAAGACTAAGACTGAAGCTTTAAACTACACCACAGCTAATACACATATTTTATTACAGTTTGAACAAAACAGTCCCATAATCCACTGTGGGACACCACAGTAGTTAAAGCAGTTTCAAACTGGATTATAGCATCAGAGCACGTGTACGTTTAGATTGCATGCATGTTACATTAATTATATCCTCTCTCTCTGTCTAGAAAGGCAGAAATGTTACAGTAATTCACTCCTTTGCTCACTTATATTTTTAAAGTTTGGGAAAAAATATTTTTAAGACTCAATGAAGTACAGTATCTGTGAATAATCAATCAAAAGACCAGCAAGCAGTGCACTGTGTAACAATACAACATATTATTTTCAGAAAAAATATTACAAATTAGTTGGCCTGTTTAATGCCTCCTGTATTTTTAATAACTATTAATATTTGGGGGATTAAACACACACATACACAGAGGGAAAGGAAGGAAGAGCCAGAGTACATTTTATCTTATCTGATGTTTGGGAATATATTGCCACCTTGCTTTCAGAACTTGTGCTGCAACAACTACCTTCCATTTTAGAAACGAAAAGCAGATATTGCTAAGATATAAACAAGATCACTCAGGCCTTGATTTCTGCATATCCTGAAAAAAGGAACAAATCACTGAAATTTCCCTATCCTTCCCTCATACAGGAAGATTCAAATGCAAGCAAATAAACAAAGCCTTAAACAACTCAAGAATCTAGGTATTAGGAGAGTGCTTTCCCCTGGCTGTAATCTGAGATCAGGCAGGCAAATCCTATTTGGGTGAACCATAATTTGGCCTGTGGGGCTACGACATACAGAGTTTCTCTATGGTGACTCCCTGGCTATACACTCCGCTCATTAGGAATCTGGTTGTCCTCCCTAGACTCCTATTATTTAGGTATCAGCTAATTATTTATCTGCATGAGATTTGTAGATATTTTATCTATTTTCTATATTGTTTTTCTGTACTTCATTAGATATTTGCAATTTGTGATTTTCAGTGTATGCATTTATGTAGATTATAAACTGTCCTGGAGTCTTGTGAAGAAGGAAGTGATATGAGTCGAATTATATAAACAAATTATTCTTGGAACCAAAACAAACAGGCAGCTGCCACTTTCAGACATATTTAATACTTTCAGCTACATCACACATTTTGAACAATTTTGATGATACACAACTAAGACTTGTTCAACAATATATTGTGCCAAAAATTCTAGATTAGCCATAGGTTCTTCATGCAAGCAAATAAATATATAAATAAATCTGTAGCTAGGTAATGTTTAAAAGCTTTCATTTACAAAAAGACAAGCATGCCTGTTTCATATGCCAATGTTGTTGAATCTACACTATAGATGGCTCACACTCACTGGGGAAGCAAATAAAACAAAGTGAAGTGTGCTGCTTATATACCGCCCGAAAATGCTTAAAGCACTTTCTGGGCAGTTTACAATGTAATTATGCAGGCTATGCATTGTCTGCTTCTCCAGCAAGCATCTGTGCAATGCTAGTCCTATATATAGACACTAGCATTTCTGTTCCCTCCCACAAACAACACATTCAGACTAAAACAAAGGTATCCTTTGCTCTCCTTCACTATTTCAGCAGAGATACACACTGAATAGATTTATTTTAGCCACAGCTGCAGCCAGTGCTTTGTACATAAAGAACTTCTTCCCTGCTCTACAGCAACAACTAGAGATAGCATACAAATTTAAGCCTGCATTTGATCTACAAAATAGGTCAATACAATTCCTAGACCTAATAACAACATTTCCTTTCACAACCCCAGTGTTATACAAGAACTGCAATTCCTTGCATTCACTATACATTATTTCCATATCCAAGAAGCTCTCATTTCTAGAAGTGAAATATTGGTTTACATGACCTTTGATATGAACAAGCAAAAATCATCTTATGCTCCCTTTGGTTTAATAAGCCATTCCTGAAGATGAGAAACGGGAAGACCTCAGGTGGGAAATTATGGAAAAAGATTCTTTCAAGGAGTTTAACCTCTGGATGTGACAGCTCAGAAAATAAGACTGAATACTTAACATTTCATAGACCAAATCAGTATTCAGTTAGTTGTGAGTATTTCCCCTTTCCCAAGCTAATTCTAAAAATTAGCTCTTTTTCTAAATGCTTAATGTTCCAAACTAGAAAATAATAACTGTTTTTCTCACACTAACGGTTTCTTCAGTTTTCAGATTTAACCTTTTCTGCCTCTCAATCACTAGCAAAAACCAGGAGATACTAGATTTTTTTTAGAATTCAACAGCCCATAGCTCCATTTTAAATAAACTAAGACATTTAGAAGTAAATTCGATAAAAACAAATTGTAATTGTTCTCTGAATTTTAAGTTTAAACAAACACAAACATATAAGCAAACCAAGTTATATCTCATGCATTTTATGATCCTGAAATAACAATGTGACTTCTGCAGAGTGCTTGAAAGGTAAACATTCCTTCTACCCATATACCCTGTTTCCCTGAAAATAAGCCCTAACCTGAAAATAAGCCCTAGTATGATTTTTCAGGATGCTCGTAATATAAGCGCTACGCTGAAAATAAGCCCCAGTTAAGTTAAACCCTGCTCTCCATCAATGTGCAGCACTGTGCAGCAACCAGAAGATGATGACATGACTGTAAAATAAAACATCCCCTGAAAATAAGCCCTAATGTGTTTTTGGAGTAAAAAATTAATATAAGACCCTGTTCTATTTTCGGGGGAACACAGTACGTGCAGTGGTTAAATTGCAGAACTGCAGTGAAGACTGCGCACAACCTGAGTGTGATCCTAGGAGTGATCCTAGGCTCAGATAGCTAGTCTGAGGTTGACTCAGCCTTCCATCCTTCTGAGTTTGATAAATTAAGTACTATACCTAGCTTGCTTAGGAGGGTGGTGGCAATGTATAGCCTGCATAATTAAAATGTAAACCACCGAGAGAGTGTTTTAAGAACTATGGGGTGATACATAAGCAGCACACACATTTTCTTTTTCATCCCTTCTCAGAAAAACAGCTTTCCCCCCAGGGTTTCAAAATTTCCAGAGATGTTACATCTCTAGCCCTGTCTCAGGTTCTTTGAAAACAGCAACAAACACAGCCTAGTTCTTTGAAGTCTAACGCCTTTAAGCAGCCATTTGCAGAAAATAGATGATTAATTCATGGAATATCCTTATTTGATCACCCCACTTCAGTACTCCATGAAGTGCAGTCATTTGGGTCCAGCTTATACTGAATGAAATATGCAATTGCTTGAAACAATAAAACAAGTTGCATAAATGTAGCAGACAGAAAGATCCCAGTACTAAAGTTGAATGGTTTATTAAAAATATTTAAAAAGGAAAACAGTTTGGACAGCAGGCATGATTTTCCGATGGGACATCAACCTGCATCACCTCAATCACCAAGGCATCAGCACAGGGGATGCCCCCATACACAGAATACAATGACGCGGCCATTCACACAACCAAAAACTGTTAAAAAAAACAGCACAATGTAGTGCAATCTAAAATAATCAGCCTTTCAATGGGTGTTCAAAAAGAAACAACTCTTCAAAGTGTAAGTTTCCCCCCATGTTTACAATAACATTATGTAGTCAGGAAATTTTGAATGGATTTTCATAGTGCTAAACCTGGATTAATTGAAAGAATATATTGCAATGTAGTCAAACCTTTAAACCAAGGTTGTACTGCCAAAATGTAGTACTGTATTGTTCAGGGATCCCTTTGTCGTAAGTTTATTACTGGCAATTTCTTAAAAGACTCCCCTATTCTTTTGTTCTGTTATAACTGCTAGATTTGAATCACTGACATCAACAAAATATTTCCCACTTAAAGCCAAATAGCTATATGAAACCTACTCTCTCACACCACCAAAGTTAATTAAGAGTGGCACTTGAATGGCATACACACCAACTATGTACAAAGATGAAAGTCACTGACGGAAGAGCTCAAAAAACCATAGCTGGATATTGGAAAAATTAGAAAAACACAATTTCCTAAAGCTGGACATGCCACTTTATCTGTTGCTACAGACAACAAATCTTTGAATCAACAACTCATGTCCCAAATCCATATGGTCCATAAACCTGTATTTTTTATCTCATACCAATGTACCCTCTAATTTTCAGCCCCGCTAGGCGGGGCTCCACCTCTAATGTGCGCAACTTCGCTCATGTGTGTGCATGCACGCATGCCTGTCCCTCGCATGCGGGGTTCCATCGCAATGAAAACCAAAGGGGCTGAAAATGGTATCTGCACAGAGTCGGAGGAAAGCTGTGCAGGGGGAGGTGGGGTCACATACACAACCGCACACCTTAGAAGGAACCTTGTTTCACACCAAGCATCAGTACAAGCTTGCAGAAATTATTAGGTACTAAGAAGAAGCAACCTCTTGGATCACAGCTGCACCTGCATTAAGTGGAAACTGAGGTGAGTAAAGACGCATAATTCCCTATCTCCACATACAAACCAGCACAAACCTCTGAACCAAGGTTTGTGTCCATCTCTACGCATGACAGTCAAATTAATTAATTAATACGAAACTTAAAAGTATTACTTCTGTAGGCTTCAATTTTTTATTTATTTATTTTTACTAATTGCTTCTAATCCTCTTATTTAGTTATACTCACATAACACATGGAATAGCTTCTGGAGCTGAACTGCCAATTTATGAAATCACTATTATCTTCAGCATACTGAGTTGTGCCACTCAGCTTGCAACTCATGATGTTTGCAATGATTTCTTAACTTGCAGCAATTTGTCCCCCCAAATTATGCCATTTCCACAGCAAAACAAGATGATTTTGTCTAGAACATTATGTTCAATCCTACTGTTGTGACTTACCTTACTTGGCAATGGGTGTATACTGGACTTTCCATCTGATGATTTTGTAGGAGAATGTACATTGTCAGATATTACTGGGGCTACCTAAATAAAAGTTTCAAAAATAAAAATAACTGTTTCACAAGATTTCATTAGCATAAAATTAAGAGTATAGAGAGATTCTAGAAACAATTAAAAACAATATTTTAAGTATCTATAACTATATAGCTCAGAGGTTTAGGTATCTGGTTGTGGAGTAAGAGGTTGGGAGTTTGATTCCTCATTGTGCCTCCTTGATAGGGGCTGGACTCAATGATCCATAGTGTCCCTTCCAGCTCTGCAGTACTGATACTGGCGATGCTAGTAGTAGTAGCAGCAGCAGTAGTAGCAGTAGTTCTGCCGAAGTGCCTACACCAAGGTAAACAGTTCTATAAAATCTGTTCGGGTAAGTAAAATATTATATTTTAACAATCTTCACCTCTCCATTACTGGAAACTTCTTTCTTCTGTTGGCATCTTCTGACCACTTCCAGCAATAAAGGCCCATCTACTGTTGCTTTAGCTTCTACTATACCCAAATCTCGAACTAAATTCTCTCGAGTCTCAAGTCCATTTAGCTACAAAGTAAATAAAAATCACTGTAAGAAATCAACATTATACATGTAATTTGCCTGTTTTCTCTCTTTTAAAAAATGTAGCAAACTGGTGGAAAAATAACTGGATCTTTCTGCAGAGTTGTGATACACAAACTATCAGCATAAGGGCACAAAAAATAGTATTTGTCCCTTCCATTTTAAACTACAATATCACACATTTCTTGTTTCAAGTTACCACCGCTTTACTCTTTAAACTCCAACTAATCCTGAAGAATTCTACCACCCTGGTAATAGCACAACGGCCTATACTGCTACTGTCTCCTGCTGTATGATAACCACAGTAACGTTCCATGGAATATACAAATAGCAGTATGGAGATAAGCCTTGTTCACAACAATAGAAGCCAGGTATCTCCCATCAGTGGTTGTTGTCTTCAATTTGAGAGTCACCAGCAACAACTCCAGTGAGCATTGGAATCTCTTCACAAATTTCATGTCCAATGCTGTTTGCCCATTTTCAATGGTGAAAATGATGAAAAATATATCGGAAGATCTTTCTGGTTGAAGGTCAGGATGATGTCTACAGTATGTCTAATAAAGACAATGTAATGTCTTTATAGCAATACCTCCCTATAATGACTGGGAGGTATTTTTCTTCATCTGTTCAGGAAAAAAAAAAACACCCGTCCCTAGGTACAGACAGAAATTTGAGTGGGTCTTGTTCATCCATCTATCTAAAACAGCAAAGACCTACAATCACTGCTTCCCCTGCTTCTTATCTCTGTGTCCTCACTAATCAGCTTTGAGAACTAATAATATTGTACTCTACTCGCTGATCTTGAAGGGTCTTTTCTTCTGAAAGGAAGAGAAGCATCTGCCAGGCTGAAAGGATTCAGAGGTTTTTTTTATCTTGGATTTGGAATTTTCCTTTTTAAAGTCAGAAGACTGCACTTCCTTCTCATCCCTAGATACCATCAAAAGTGGGCATGGGATAGAGATGGGCCAAACTATTTACTCCAGAGAAAACAATGGCAGAGACAGTAGCCTCAGCCTGTTAATCCACTCCCACTCTCTATTCGTCAAATGTAGTCCACTTTGGGTTACTCCAGCTAAAACTACGGTGACATCTGTAAACTAGCCATAATCCAAGAGTCAGGAAAGAAATCTGCCACTCTGGCCATCCCATCCAAAGATGCCTCAACTTAGGATGAACTGTAGGTAATATGCACAACTTTAGATAAGACATGAGCTCAGAAGGTGAGCTCCTGTATAATCACAGAATTGACCACGGTTATCTTGGTGTCAGGGCAGTACGTATGTGGCCATATTGCAGGGCTGCACCACATTTTTCCTGTTTAATTAGTACCTTATTCTCCTCCTTAATTAATACAGCTTTGGAGGTGAGGGAAGCTACTTTAAAATCACAGACAATTTCAACTGACCCATGACCTCTGCCAATAGAGAATAAATCTTTTGATGAAAGACTAGACAAATGCTGGTCTGGCTCACTTCGGAACTTTCTGCCCAACATCGGAGGAAGCCCTTTGAGAGCTCGGAAGGCAAGAAGGCAGGGAGAAAAGGCGGGAAATTCAATGTCCTTATCAGTGAGGGGACGCCCGGTTTGCCAGAAGCAGATCTGATCTGGGTCTGAGGGGAATCTTAGGAAGTCATAAGCTAAACAAGAGGGGGGAAAGATTGTAAGAGAGTTTTAAACGTTCACTCGCTTTTCATTATTCAATTGCATTTTAATTATTCTCTGGTTTAATTGTTTTTTTTTAAATGATTAACTTATGTTTTTAATTTTAAGAGAGAAAGGTGGCCCACAAATGAAATGAAATGATATTAAATTAAATTAAAAAAAGTTGTCACCCTATACTTGAAAAAACAGGGCTGTTAATAAGAGGACTTTCTGGATGTCATTAGTTCATTGAATTGTCATAAGTCAGGAGGGACTCATCATCATCATCATGGCGGGGAAAGCGTCAAATTTTAATTGGGCGCTTTTCCCGCCTCCCTCTTCTGGTCCGTAGGTCGATTCTCCAGACACAAAATTCCACTTTGACTTGCGGCCGGAGAAGTCTGCAAGTCGAAAAGTTCATAAGTAGAACTGTTCGTAAGTCGAGACCCCACTGTATACAAATAAGCAGCTGGGTTAAATTACATTTTTGATCCTGCTGGTTTCTAGTATACTGCCGTATCTGTTTAGAATATTTGAAATAAAAATTAAGCATGCTTACTGTGCTTGATTCAGGCTGAAAGACAGCCAAAGTAAAATCAAGGTTGAAGAACTGAAGAAATTCAGCAACAAGACTAACCACCAAACGACCTTTAAAAAAAAAGCATCACATTCAGATTCCTTACACTGCATTCATATCCATTTGTTAGAAGACATAACATGACCAGCAAAACATAGTTTTTATTGAAAATCACTTATCCCAATATTTACAAAAACTTAATTTGGGAAACACAAAAAAGAACTTTTAGAATTACAGAGTGACTTGATGGATAGTCTTTTAAGTTCTCTGGGAGGGGCACAGTAAGGAAACTTCAGGGATGATCTCAAAGAAACCCCAGTCAAGACTGAATAAAGATTTTTCAAGGCAGGAGAAAAAAAGAAGGACTAAGCAATAGGAACTGTAAAATGGGAAGAAGAGTTGAAGAAAAACACGGGAAAACAACAGAATGGTGGTCTGTGTAAGTGACAAACATTAAGACATTCTCATAGAATGCCACAAAAATGCTGGGAACATATTTAGTAATGTTTTAGAAATCAAAGGCCAAATATAAATGCTGTCAGAGTAACTTTCAGAGGCAAACTGCACCAACTACAGTGGTGCCTCACAACACAAGCACTTCGTTTTACAATGAAATCGCATAACGACAAAGTTTTTTCAATCGCAAAAGCGATCACAAAACAATATTTCCTATGAGGTTTTTTCGCTTTGCGATGATCGGTTCCCTGCTTCGCTAACCAATTATCGCAAAACGATGATTTTCACAGCTGATTGGCAGTTTCAAAATGGCCGCCGGGTAAAAAAAATGGCAGCCCGCTGTTTTCTGGGACGGATTCCTCGCTGCACGGGCAGCGAAAATGGCCGCGCTATGGAGGATCTTTGCTGGACGGTGAGTTTCAAGCCCATAGGAACGCATTAATCGGGTTTTAAGGCGTTTCTATGGGCTTTTAAAAATCGCTTTACGATGTTTTCGTTCTACAGCGATTTCGCCGGAACAAATTAACATTGTAATGCAAGGCACCACTGTATAATGATCTCTGAACTTGAAGTAATTTGTTTTCAAAGGTAATAATTAGCATTACACCAGAGTAACTATGCAAGAGGGTTTTGGTTAAAGAGTCTTGTTTGATGGGAATAGAAAGAAAAACTTGCATTTCTCAATTCTAAATTATTCCAATCCAAAATTTGGACCTTAGCAAGAGAATGCCAGCACAGTATTACAATACTGTAGTAAGACAGTCCAAATTGTCAATTAGAAATGAAACTGAGTGGGTGATTCTGGACCTGTCACACTGTCTCAGCCCGACCTATCTCACATGGCTATTGTGAGATATGTCACCTTGGTCTCACTGCAACAGAAGGGTTATAAATATAGCAAATAAATAAACAGCTGTCAAGGCTGGAACTCTACCAACGAGACAATATTTGCTGATTCTGCTCTCCCCAACTCAACCCCTCTTTTCTTCAAGAGGGTCCCCCATCCTATGGAAAAGACTAGGGGGGAGGTCCAAAGGGATTCAAAGCAAGTACTCCTCTGCTTCCTGTAGGAACAAACTCAGGATCTTAGCCCATTAAAGGATGAAGCATAATAATTCAGAAACCTGTAAAATCCTACTTTTAAATACCAAATGTAGACTTGTTCTCACCAAAGTTGATTAAGATTGATCTCTAATTGTGAGGCCTTTGTTTGGACTGTTTAATTTTTATTACTAATATGGACTTTGAAGTAGACCTTCCACATAATTTTACAATCTCTGATCACTTTTACAAACATGCAGTAAAGTATATTGCTATTACTCATATTTTACATATGCAGCAATTTACCTATTTCAATCTAATATCTTCTACAATGCTACCATAATTGTTGAAAACATACTATATTTAATAAAAGGAGATAAAGCTTACCATCTTTTGTATTTAAAAATTTTCTCAAACTTTCATTTACAAGAGGAGACTTATTCTGCAAAAAATTGAGGGAAAATTAAATATGTCATTACACTGCAAAACAACCCTGCAAAGCAATATAATTTTTAGTGTGTACATTACAGATAACAGCTACTGATATTTATATTTATCCTGAGCATCTTTATACTGAAGTTGTCTTCATCGTATACTACCTGAGTTTAATAATGAGAAAAAAGAAGGAAAAAAACCCTGGACAATCTTAAGAGTATTACAGTATTCAAATACTGCAATTATTTTCAGCACTGTAGTACATATCTGAAATGCTGGTTCTAAAAGTCAGGTGCGACTCCAAAGAAACAGAAAACACCAATGTCATTTTCAGGGCTTGAAAAATGCACTCATCTGTGATGAGTGAAAAATGCTGCTCGATGAGTCACAGCTCCCTCCCTGCCTCCTTCCCCTCCGCCTGTCTCTCTCTCTCTCTCTCTAATCCTGCAGTCCTCCCCTCCCCCATCCCACTGCAAAAGGAAAACTACCCTCTTCTCATAAGAGAGTTTAAGAAGTACATAGAGATATAGCTCTGCAGAAGAATGTAGAGTAGTCCCATGCTGGAGAATATGGAGATTCCCTGCTCCCAATTTCAACCGAATGAGGACACATCCGGGGGTGGGAGGGAACCGTGGCTCCTTAGGAGGCCAGGCATTTTTGCTTTCAGTTTTAATTTTGCTGGAGACATCCAAAAGAAAGGCATCCAAAATACAAGCTTCATGACCCCACAGGCACGCAGGTAATAAAGCAACCCAAGTCTGAGGGTATAAATCAGTGATTCCCAATCCCAATAAATTGCAAGGCTATAGTCCAGTCATGCTGACTGGTTAAATTTTTGACTGGCCAGTGAGACATTCTAAAATTTTTCAAGGTACCGTTGACCCCATTCCTTCCTTCCAGCATGTGGAAGGAAATGGTGGTAGTCAGGTCAATGGCACATATTCTTTTGTCAGTTGTAGTTTTTCAAGTAAGCAAATCACACCCTTGTCCTTTCTTCCTTCATTTCAGTTTGAAGCTATAATCTCAAGATAGTCTGCAAGCTCAAGCTACAAGACAAGAACAATTGTTCGCATTTAGGAATGTAGTAAATGTATTGTTATATAATTCTGAAGGAGGGTAATATAGCACATATGTGTTGTGGGTAATATATGTGTTATTTATGTGAAAATAAAAAATATTTTTTTAAAAGGAATGTTCCAACAAATAAGGTTCAAATATACCAATAACAACACTATTTGGAATTGGAAAAATTTAGACTGTACTAAAACAATTGAAATGAAAGGCTTATTATTTTCGCTCCTTACTTCTTTTTCTTGTTCTTCCAATGCTAAAAACACAGCTGCCCGCAACTCTGCCTGTAACAGAAAAAAACATTTTCAGAACCATATACCATTATGTTCCTTCATTTAAGAAAACTGTCCTCTGAAAAAATAGATACTAAGCAGATGTACCCAACCTACCACTGCAGACTGTATTTTTTTTATTTGTATGATCTTCATCTCTTTGAGAAGCCTTTAATGTTTTACTGAAGCCTTTAGTGTTTTACCATTTCTTGTTTTAAGATGTCAAGCATACATTTAAGCATACTTCTCATATTCCAATTATACATGTCATGCAGCATCCAACTTTCCTTTTATCTCTGTGCAGATGAAAAGCTAAATGACTTTTTGGCTTTAACCATGCTACTTGTTGTTATCATTTGTTGTAAGCCGCCTAGAGTGGTCGAAATGACTAGATAGGCGGGGTATAAATACAATAAATAAATAAATACTTCATTAACAACAATATTCATACTAACTCCCTGGTCTTCCCCAGCAGACTTATTGTGCATCTTCTCTTAGCTAAGAGTGTCAAACCTTTCCTGAAAACTTGGGCTTTACTCAAGTCCACAGTAAAATTTACTATTCTAGAATGTACAATAAAGATCAGCAAAGGGAAGTGACACTGTTTTAATCTGTGCATTTTTTCTTCTTGCTTCTTGATGGTGGCGACAATGTGAGTAGCTTTTACATATTTGATAATTTCTTTAGCTCTTTTTTAAATACTTTGAAGGGTGTCGAGTTTTATTGTCATTATGAAGTAAGTTTAGTCCATGAAATACACATCCTATTGCAGTAATATGTGGATACTTGTCCATTATGATTTCCCGTGTAGGTTTCATATTACTTGTCTTACCAGTCAAAATTTAACATAGTTTTTTCAGCAATCCGTGCATGTGAATCAGATACTGTACTGTACTTTTATCCTAACCACATGGCTATGATAAAAACATGTTTTTGAAAATCTAAGTGAATCTCCACTTTCAACTGCTGAAGAAAGCAAAGTGAAATATTTTATTAAGAAACAGGAAGAATTTTGTTGCCATCCAATACATACTGCTGCAAATCTACTGGATCCAAGATTAAAAGGCAGTGATGTGACTGATGAGAATATAGCTGCTGCATTTGACTGGATTACAAAACAAGCTGCACGCTTAGGACTTGATGTTGGAAAAGTACTTTCAGAATATAGAACATCTTCAGAGATTTGGGCCAGGAATGCAGTCTGAGATTCTGCAAAATATATCCCTCCTGCAACGTGGTGGCAAGGTCTCTGCACAATACAACATCTGACACTTCTTGCATCTTGCTTACTGCAGATTCCTGCATCTTCTGCTGCGTGTGGAAGAATCTGGTTTATGTTTGGTAATATTCATATCAAATCAAGAAACAGATTAACCTCTGAAAAGGTAGAAAAATTTGTTTCAATTCATGCAAACCTTAAGTTTTTGGAAGTCCATGAGAAAAATGACAAATAAGAAGAGGAAGTAGAAATGGAAAATGATAGCAGTAGTTCAGAAAACAAGATAGATTAAATTGCATGTATATGTTGTATCTTTGTTAAATTTTCTCAATTAATTTTTAAGCACCACTCCAAAGTTAAATCTCGCTAATAAAACAGCTGCTACCATCATACATCTATATAAACCACTGGTGTGACCATCAACATTCCCTCTAGTTTTCAACCCCACTAAGCAGGACTCTGTTCCTCATGTGTGACTTTGTCCCTTGCACAAGATTCCCACCCCTCATTCCGTCAAGATCAGAACCAAAGATGCTGGAAACTATTGCTGTCGATGTGCAGAGGACGAAGGAACAGAGTCACACAAGCGTGTGCATCTTAGAGGGAACTTTGGTAACCTCAATTTTCATTACTGCATCTCAAAGATTATTGCAGAGCTGGAAACAGTGCAAAGAAGGGCAACCAAAATGATCAAGAATGTGGAGGAAAGGTTATGAATAGAGATGGGAGTGTTTGTATTCATATACGAATACCCCTGCACAGCGGGAGTTAACCACTGACCCTGTTCTTCCTTCCAATTGCTCTGCAGCGCCTGGTCAGCTAGCCATTCCTGGCAGGAGGGAAGACGAATCTCCCTGCCAGGCTGACGAGTGGCTAGCAGACCAGGCATTCTGGAGCAACTGGAAGGAAGAGTGGGGCCAGCGGTGGATACATGAGTGGACATTACAGCCTCAGGGCTGGACCCTCATTAACTCCAGCTGTGCTCTAATTATGAACGTTGTTTTTTTCTGTTTCTTATAAAGAATTTTTGGCCTATTAGGCACCACGTGCATAGACTGGATAAAGAAGAGAGTCTGCATGGTATAAGTGGTAAAATTAGGCTCAAGAAGACCTGGGTAGTAATCCCCACTACTAAACTCACTGCATGACTCTGCATCATGATTATCTGCCTACCTAAATCACCTGTCCTTTATTATAAAGAAAAACTATTTTAAGGAGAATAAATCATTTAGGGCATCTCACACTGTCTCAACAGTGCAGATATGAGCAGGGTCTAATTTTGTCACCCAGTGGATGGAACTACTGTTGTCAACAAACCAGTCTCCTTCCCTCATGCAATCCCTGTTCTTCCTCAAAACTTGTCTCGTGAAGTCTTTCGAAATATATTGTAAACAGCAGAGAAGAAAGTTGTGTTGCATTATTTTACATGCACTACTGCAAAGTTAGATTTCAGTCAGTTAGAGGAGGGAGAAGAAGTTGGTTTTCTCCCTCTAGCTTAAAACGAGATCTTTGCAGTCATCCAGTGAGCCGAGGCAGGCAAGAAGAAAGACTTCTCCGGTTTGCCTGTGACAGCTGCTGTCACAAGATGTGAGGGGAGCCACCAATTTAGCAACTTTCAAGTTAGGAACAAGACCAACACCTGAAAGAAAGGTCTCTCAAAAGTGATTCCACCATCAAAGACCATTTGCCGCTGAATAGTAGCTGCTGAGGAACAAGAGCAGGGCGGTGGCACTGCCCTCGTGCGTTGCTTGCGGGCTTCACACGGACGTTTAGAGGGGCCAAGGTGGGCAACAGAAGCTAAACACAAAGAGGCCTCTCGTCCCACACAACAGGGTTGCAACTCGGCTCCCTCCCTCTCGAGAATGACTTCTACGCATGCGCCCTGAGGCAAAGTCAACTCGTGGCAGTCTGGACCAGACGGCGTTGCCCCGAGGGCGGGAATGACAACAGGCGACAGTTAGCGCCGGCGGTGCCCTCACCGGCCTCTCCCGCAAGGGCCGCAGACGCGCAACGTCTCACCACCGGCAGCTCCCGGAATCACGTGGGCGGGCACCACGCGTTTCTACGGGGCCCCTCGCCCGTTCCCAAGCACCTCAACGTCCCTCCCTTGAGGCCGGGGCTCTCCTCACCTTGATTTTGTTGAGAACGCCGCTCGTCTCCAGCGTCTGCACGAGGAGGTCCCTCAGCTCCGCGTCTTCCTCCGTCGCCGCCGCCATCTTGCTTCTCCCTGACAACCGCCTAAACTGAGCTGGCGAGAGACGGAGCCTGGCAGATTCGTTGCTCTAACGCCCGGAAGGGCCGTTGCCGGGAAGAGGCGCTGCGCCTGAAGGACGGCTCTTCCCCGCTACCCAGCACTCGGCGGGAGGGAGGGAAGGCGAGAGCCGGCCGGCGACCCGCGCGGTGAACCGCCTCTCGAATGTGCGGCCGCGAATGGCAACCTCCGACCGGGCCGCCGGGAGAGGCCGGAGCGCGCCCAAGGCGGGAGTTTTTGAAGGAGGCGCTTGCGAGGAGGAAGGCGGAGTGCATTCGGTTTAAAGCCAAGAGAGAAAGTCTCTTGCCCCTGCGGAGAACGCCCTTTGAGCTGCTCAGTTTTCTGAAAGAAATGTAGCACGAACAATGGTGCTTCAAAAGAGCTTGGGCTGAAATAAACACACACCCAGAAAAGTTCTTCTTTCTTTCATATCTGCCTTCTCCTCCGTCCAGCTGCTTATTAGCTTCCTTCTAGTTATTTATCTTTTAACTACTCGCTGCCTTGTGTTTTTTTAAAAGAAAATAAGCGACTTTTAACTGTTACAAGAGAGAAAACAAGGACCCAAACTGATGGTTGTTGTAGGATCCAAACTATTTAATTTCCCCCCCTGTTTCTCTGGCATGTGAGATTTGAAGAGCTTTAGAGTTCATGGATGAAACACGAATTCCGGCTTCTGGTTACTTCCAGAGTCTGAGCCAGCTTGTAACAGCTTTAGGTCCAATCTGGATTTTTTTT